GGGGGTACAGGGAGGGGTAAGGGTACAGGGACAGGTAGGAGTATGGGGACGGGTTGGGGGTACAGGGACGGGTAAGGGTACAGGGACAGGTGGGGGAACTGGGTGGGGGGCGTAACTGCAGCGGGAAGTGCTTTCAGTCACCATACCTCTTTTTCAAGCATATATATTTAATTTACAGTTTATTATTTAATTTAGGTGTAACTGATGTGAAATTATGTTATTTGATCTATTTCAATGTACTCAATAGAATTTCGTTTGATGTTTCCTTGTTGTTCTTCCATAGGGTGTGGGGGCTTGCCAGAGACAGACAGGCAGAGGGAAGGTGAGGCATCCCTCCCTGGGGCCGGCCACGCCGCAGTCCCTTCTCCCCCATCCTCGTCTTGGGGTTGGGGCCTGTACGCACACGTCCCCAACACTTTACAAAATGCGCAGGTGGCCATGTGGGACCCTGAGCCTTAACCTGCATTCCGCATTCTCGATGTCCTCTCGTGTCTCCGCCATTCCACTCCAGAGCCTTTTATAACACGAAAGAAGGGCCTGCCTGCGATCTGTCCCTCCCACTTTCTCCTCCCTGTGGCCCTTGGCAACCGCCTATTTCTTTTTTTTTTTTTTTTTGGAGAGGTTTTCGCGATAGGGCGCATGCGCTCGCCAGGGAGACAGAGAGAGACAGAGAGATAGAGAGCGAGAAATCACCCTCCAGGGGGGATGGTCACGCCACAATCCCTTCTCCTCCATTCTCCTCTCGGGATCTTGGGCATGCACGCACACGTGCCCGGCGTGAGTTTTAAGCCACCGGGTCCGGGATGCAAACTGTGGTCGACTACGTGGGAGTCCAGCGACATAGCCATTACGCTAACTGCTGGTTCCCCCGCCTATCTATTTCTGTTTCTAGTTTCTCTCTTTGGACCTGATATGAATGAGGAAATATACTGAGGTGTTTCGCTAGTGACTACTTTCTTTTTTTGGAGAGGTTTTCGCGATAGGGCGCATGCGCTCGCCAGGAAGACAGAGAGAGACAGAGACAGAAAGCGAGAAAGTATGAGTTTAAGCTGTCAGGTCCGGGACTCGAACCATGGTCGACTACATGGGAGTCCAGTGACATAGCCATTATGCCAACTGCTGGTCCCCCCTGATGTGAATTTGAAGTCACCGGATCTGAGACTTGAATCGCAGTCAGTCATGTGGGAGTCCACACCACTTGCTGGCTCCTCTGTGCCCATTTTTAAATTGGGCTGTGTTTTCACTATGGGGTTATAATTCTTTCTTTTTGTTAGAGAGTGGGTGTATACACCGCAGAGAAAACAGACAGTAGGGGAAAGCACCCTGCAAGGGGAATGGTCACGTACAATCCCTCCTCCTCCATTTTCCCCTTTTAGCAGGATTTGGGGACGCACACACGTGTGCCTGACCTATTCCTCAATTTGCTGGGTCTGGGACTCAGGCTGCACAGTTGGCCATGTGCGTTCTGGCTTCCTTAACCATCGGCCACAGAGTTCTCCCCTCCCCCAATTCTTTTTTATTGCTTAGATTTTTGCTTGGTGGAGAGAGACAGAGAGAGAGGGGAAAAGGGAGAAATCACCCCAAGGGTGGTGGCCAAGCTGCAATCCCATCGCCATTCTCCCCTGGGATCCTGGGCATGCATGCCTGGAATGTTTTTCAAGCCACCAGGTTCAGAACTTGAAACACACAATTGGCCATGTGGGATCCAGTGTTAACCACCGTGCCACCTGGCTAGAGCCACTTAATGTATCCTTTAAAAAAAGATGTTTTAATTTGGATGAACCCCAATTTCTCTGTTTTTCTTTTGCTGCTCATGTTTTTGGCATTATATTTAAGAATCGTTTCCTAAGTTCAAAGTCGTAAATTGTTTTAAAGATTGCTTTAGGTGCTGACTCTCTCACTCTGGTCAAATTAAAATAAAATAAAGTTGTAAAATGATTCTTTAAGAAATGTCTTAATTGTGATTTTAAAATATGTATCATAACATTTACTATTTTTTTAAAGAATTACTCACTTTATTTTATTTATTCATTCATTTGTTTAACAGAGAGAGACACAGAGAGAGAGAGGGGAAGTGAGAAAGCAAGCCACCAGGTCCAGGACTCAAACCGTGGTCTGCCATGTGGGAATGTCCAGCTCCTTAACCACCACGCCACCTGCTGGTCCCAAAATTTACTCTTAAATGTATAGTTTGATAGCGCTGACTACATTTGCCTGGTTATGCACCCAATCTCCAAAACTCTTCTTTTTGCAAAAGAAACTCTATACGCCCTTTTAGGCTCTCCCCGTTCCTCTGCCTCCAGCCCCAGGCAACCACGTCCCACTTCCTGTCTGTAAGTTGGGCTACTCTAGAACCTGGTGTAGGTGGAATCGGACGGTATCCGTCCTTTGTGACTGGTTTATTCCACTCAGCACAATGCCATCCTCCAAGTACAAGTCACGGTTTCCTCCTTCGGAGACTGAGTAATATTCCACTGTGCATATATACCACATTTTCCTTTTTCTCCTTTTTAAAAAAATTT